AAGGGGAGCAAACGTATTAAGAACAGTATGCCATATACACCAGGTCCCTCGAAACATATGCTGTGCAGATGTTTCTTCCCTGCAGCGACTGTGTCAAGCAGCAAGGATGGACCGGCTTCCAGCAAATAGCCAGTCTTTTGGAGTAACTTTCTCATCTTGCTCCTTTCTGCCTACAAACCTCTCATTTTACACAGCTCCTTGGAGCCTGACTGGATGCTGCTTGACTCATGAATCACTGAATAAAGTCAGTAAGATCTTAAAAGTTTACAGTTCAATTTGTTTTAACAGCATCTTCATAGGTTTGTAACTGGACAATCAGTGGGTCTGGGCTGCGTGTCACTACATGAGCCAATGCAGCAGAACAGGGTGGAGTCATGAGCGTGTGTTCCAGTCCTGCCGGCAGCGTGGAGAGCAGCAGGTCGTCCACAAACATCTGCTCTGCCCCTCTTCCCCCATAAGCCAGCTGCTATTGGGTAGAAGGGCAAAGACGACACGGGGAAGTGGGCAGAGGATTACCAAATGGGCAGTTCACAGGTAATGGGGGCGGGGGGATTGCAAAGGCTGAGGGTTTTCCAAGGGCTGGCGGCTCTGGTTTCTGCAACGAGGCCGTCCATCTTTCCAGGATAACAGGCAGCTCCCGGATGGGGAGGGGGCCGCATTTCCAGGGGAGCTCCCAGGCCCCACTGCAACTCCCAGCCAGGTGAGCATGCGCCTTCTTTAATCAAAACAAAACAATCCCGGTTAACGGAGCATGATCCATATTTCTTACAATTAGAGCTGGTCCCCAGCATTCTATTTCTGTCAGTTAATCTTCACAACACCAGGATAAGGTGATCCCCACTGTGAGATGGTCAGCGGGGCTTCGGAGGGATGAATGAGACACCTAAGACTACACAGAGGGCAGAGGCCGAGGCCTTTGACTAGGCTCCAGCTCCAAACTCCTGCTATTAAACACGGGGCTTTTCTGGTTTTTGAAGTAGCCATTACACATTTAATTTAATTTATTATTAAAATTTTTTTAAATTGATTTCAGAGAGGAAGGGATAGGGAGAGAGAGTTAGAAACATCAATGATGAGAGAGAATCATTGATTGGCTGCCTTCTGCATGCCCCTTACTGGGAAAATGAGTCTGAACCTGGACACGTGCCCTTGACCGGAATTGAACCCGGGACCCCAGTCCACAGGCTGACGCACTGTCCACTGAGCCAAACTAGCGAGGGCTCGACATACACACTTTAAATCAAGCTGTCCCCTTTGACGGATTCTCCAGATTCATTGGCATATTTCAGTTTTCAATAGTGTGCCCGCTCTGGTCCATTGCTCAGTGGTGAGAGTGTTGGCCCTAGGACTGAGGGTCTCGGGTTCAATTCCTGGTGAGGGCACGCACTAGGTTGTGGGCTCCATCCTAGGTCAGGGTGCAGGGGCAGGCAACGAATTGATGTTTCTTTCCCCCTCCTCCCTCCCCTCTGCTTTCAAAAATCAACGGGAAAAATATCCTTGGGGGAGGTGGGTTAAAAATCAACCAATCAATCGTGCACACTGTGTCCATTTTTAAAAGAATCATCTCCTTTGTTTTGATCTATTTTGTTTTTCTTTGGTCTTTTCCCAGTTGTCAGTGTCGGTTTTGGAGGGAGGAAAATGAATTGCTCTCTACCCTTCTAGGACCTCAGCTGAGAACCCTCCAATAAAAGATTGAAAAACAGAATTTTGTTAGGTCGGAGAGAGCCCAGGATCGGATACAGGCAGACCTGTGATGAGGTAATGGGCCCTCCCTGGCATTTCTAACTGATCAGCGCGCCCGACACAGATACCAGCTTCTCCCTGAATCCACAACCACCCCCCCACAGACACTGACTCCTTCCTGAACACCCTGCTGACCCCTGAGGCGGAAACTTCCTCAGCTGAATAGCTCCGCTCATGTCCCCGCCCCTCCCTCAACCGCAGTATAAAAAAAGCGCCCCCCTCCCTGTTGGCGTGAACCCACAGGCCCTGCCTTTGGGGTTCATGGGTCACCTGGGGACGCAGAATAAAACCTTCCCTTTTCTTTCTTTTCTGATTCACTCGACTCTCTTTATTTCCTACACCGCTTCCTGAGCCACCTAACCTAACAAATTTACATAACATGCATACCGCCCAAGGAAAACCGAGTAACTCCCCCAAATGGCCCAGGCCACCCCCTTAAATACCATCTTCAGCTAAAGACAAAAATGTCTATTTCGGGGGGTGTGGGGGCCAGGGCTGGGAGCCGGCAGGAAAAGCACAGCAGAGGGGGCGGTTGTGCTGACTGAAGCTGAGCCTCTTCCAAGACGATAAGCGAGCCTTGTGATTTGGAGGCGCCCTGATACCGGAGGGCGGGCGACGTCCTCACAAAAGGATTTCCCATCACTGTCCCCACAGCGAGTGTTCAGAGCGTCTCCTGTGCCGGCTGCTGCTCAGAAATAATCGCCAAGGAGGTGTGTTGGGCTCCGCACAGCCTGCTGCCTTCACCACCCCCGCAGCGGCCGTAATTCTCGTTCAAATAAACGCCTAAAAACGGAATGCACTGCAGCTTGTCCTTTGAGTTCCTTAAAGCGCAGAGGCGGCGGCAGCGCTCACCTCCGGGGGGCGGGGCAGGGCCTCCTCCGCCAGCGTTCGGCGCGCAGTGACTGTCATTTTGGGCTCTTAGTGTATTTGTTGTCTGTGCTTTTGTTTCATCGACTGACAAAGTTAAACAATTAAGGACCGACTTGTCCTTTATCCAAGGGAAAGGCGTCCCGGACGGGGAGCAGGTGAGCCCCTTCCCGAGGCCCCGGGCGGGAGCTGGAGGAGGTGCCCGCACAGCGCTGGGCTGGCCCCGCTCTCCAGGGCGCTGCTGAGCTGCGGGACGGGGACCTCAGGGCCTTGGCAGGTGCTCCCCAGGGCGAGCTCGCCGAGTGCGGGTGTGCGGCGCGGGCTGGGCCGCCGGCCTCGCCTCGGCAGGGGCTGGGGTTGTCGGTCCCAGCCACCTTCCTCGTCCCCACGGCGGCGACTGGTGCTCGGAGAGACGGGCACCAGCGCCCTCGCACTCCCACTTCCGGGGGGGGGGTCTCCGACGGGAACCCACAGTTCAGCACGTCAAGGCCCTGGTCCCTTGGTGGCCGTTCCTTCACTCTGTTCTAGGCAAAGGGGCCGCTTTATCTGTCACCAGTGGCTGCGCTGGGCATTCCCAGCTTCGGATGGACGCAGCAGGGAGGCCATAGAATGACTCTACGCAGAATAATGCCCAAAGCTGCAGGCCCCTGACTCACGGCCTCTGAGACGGAAGAGGCCACACAAAGGCCCCTGGACCAAGCCCTTTCTTAGTTGGCCAAGGGGCTGGGTCTCAGCTTCCCCAGAACTGGGGGTCGAGGCGCGAGCGGTGGTTTCCAACGCACAGCAGACGGTAGCCAAGGGCTTTCCTTCACAGGAACAACTTGGCCAGACAGTGCAGGGATTTTGGGGGCAGTACACTGCTTTGCTTGCTCCTCGCCAGCGAAGCAGGGGGTGCCAAGTGACCTTGGGGTCACGAGTGCCTTCTGGGAGCTCCTGTTAGAGTCTGTGATGCAGTTAGAGGTGCAGCCTGCTCGTCCATTTGGACACTGAGCGCAGGAAGAGGTGCTCGTCCTGAGCAGGTGCATTTGGACCCGGGCGGTGCCCCTGACATCACGGGGCGGGGGTCGGATGGGGGGGACGGTTGGGGGAGGGGGCAGCGATGGGAAGAGCAGGGCTCAGAAGGGGAAGGATGACACCTGGGGTCAGCCAGACCTCACAGGACTGCTGTGCCCGTTTCTCCTGGCGGTGCTGACTGAAGGCAGGGAGAGCAACTGGCAGCTGGGCCAGGAGCCTCATGGTGGCGAGAGGGGCTTCCTCGCCCAGAGGAACCAGGTGCTGGGAACCAGGGAGCCGTTGTAACAGGCAGGACTCCAGGTCCCCGCCTGGGCGGGCAGGGCCTTTGGTGGAACACCAGGAGCCGTGGGAAAGCATTTGGAAGCAGCGCTCTCCCAAGCGGCAGGGAGGGGCCTGCTCCCAGGTGGGCCTCCTGCACGCCCACAGCCTCTCCCCCTGTTGACCTTGGCTCTGAGGTCTCCAGAGTGTGTAGCGGCCGCTATCAGGTGGTTCCCTCTCAACGTGCTGAGGGTGGGCACAGGGGACGAGCATGAGGACAGGGAGCAGGAAGGAAAAGTGTCCGGGGATGCCCCACACTGCCTCGCCAGCACCCAGGTCCTCTTCATGTCCCCACGTCCCAGGCAGTGCTTCTCAGCCTCGGGCATTTCTCTGCCAACAATGGTGTCGCCGGCACCTAGAGGCCAGCGATGTCGCTGAACACCCGGCAAGGCACAGGCGTTCCTCGGACAGGAATCACCTGGCCCCAGTGTCAGGAGTCCTGAGGCCCAGGAGTCCTGCGTGGTCTCTGTGAGTCCTGAGGAGCTGGCGTCCAGGCCTGGCCATCCGCCCTCTGGAGGGGAGCTCACTCACCTGCCATCGAGAGGCCGGCGGGACCGGCAGGGG